TTGTGGGTTTTTTTTTTTAATTGAATACAAAGGAAGTATAACTGTGAGCAACCCAACAAAATTCACTCATACTTGAGAAATAGAAAATTCAAAATGACAGTAAACAAAGAAAATCAGTAACTTGAAGCTGCAAAAAATTTACAAGAAAGAGTAAATCCATCCATTGTCAATCTCTGTTAGGGAACTAAGTTACTATTTTTCGCAAGTCTTTCTAACAACACCATCATGGCCTGTGTCTGTTGTTGCTGTTGCTGCAAAAAAGCCATTTTAAGTGTTTGCATCTGATCTTGTTGTTTTGTCATGTTTGTAATCATGGTCTCCTGCGTTTTAAACATCTGTGCTTGCATCTCTTTTTCGTTTTCAACTTCTTTTGCTTTCAATCCTCTTCGCGGATCTTAAGCTCCTTTTCTGACTTTTCCCGTAGAAATTCGGCAACATCAGCTCCGCTTCTTCGTTGCCTTTTCGCTTTTCTTTCACAGTCCTCATCAGCCCTCCTTTTTGCTTCACCAACTCTTTCCAAGGCTTGGAAACGCGTCTCCTCGGCTCTTTTGCGATCTGTTTCGACACTCCCTCTGCTACAGGATTCTCTCGTTGATTCTGCTAATTTCTCTCTTTCAGAAATTTCTTCCAACAGCGCGTCGAGCTCTGTTGGTTCGGGAGATGTACCACTTGCATTTTCTTCTTCTCTACTTTGCTGTCGAAATCTTCCGAGTAGAAAGTCAAATCGCTCTCTTACCGCTCTTTGATTCACTTTGAATTTGACTGCAGTTAAATTGTTGAGGTTCTCGGAAATTTGCGTCCAAATTCTTCCTCTCTCATTACTCCCTTTCTTGAACTTATAAAACTTCTGCACCAAAATTTCTCTGCACAACCCATTACGAAAACGAAGACTCATTACAAAAACGAAGACCCTCTACGAAAAAGAAGACCCAATGCGAAAACGAAGACCCATTACGAAAATGAAGACCCAATATCTGTGCTTAAACCGTCACGCAACATATCTACCAAGCCGTAATTTCCGGGCGCATTCTTTTCTGTTTTTCGATACAAAATACTTTTTGCCTTGATTGTGAAGCGCCTTAGAGCTTTTGGATAGGGCGCTATATAAATTGTCATTTATTTTTATTATACGATAACAGACTAGAAAATCAAGACAACTAAAACGTCCTGTTTTTATTGGGTCTCCGTTTTCGTAATGGGTCTTCGTTTTCATAGTTGACCTTCGTTTTCGTAGGGGTCTTAGGTCTTCGTTTTTGGGGTCTTCGTTTTCGTAACTAGCAGTCCGCGAGGGTATTTAGGACAAACACCAAGAGAAAGTTTGTGGAACGTGACGACTATCGAGAATCTGATTTTGCTCTATTTGCCTTTTAAGAAGAAATGGTCGCAACTAGGCATTGTTGTTGGGGAAAATGTAACAACAACTCAAGGTATCCTGAAAGATTACCAGATTCTCTGAAAGAAATGATAAAAAACGGGCAGAAAGCATTCATACCTTCCCGAAGCCGAAGCATGGATTAGAACGGTGTCAATGATGGGTCAATGCGTGCTCTAGAGAGAATTTCACTATGGAAAATGTTAATTACAATACATACATTTGTGCAGTACACTGGCCAGATGGGAAAGGACCGACCGATAAGTTTCCTGACCCTTTTAAGGCGAATTTGTCGAAGAAAGAAATTGACCTTCAGACGCGAGTTAAGCGAAAGGCGCCAAAACAGTGACCATACGGACCAGAAGTGAAGAAGGCAAAAAGACAACTCAAAATCGACTCTGTAGGAGAAATTAAATTATTTTAGAGAAGAGGAATTACCAACGAAGGACAAGAGCACACAAACTGCGTCGAAACATTATGAAACATTTGACTGGTCTTTCGAGCGGTCAATTTAAGTGCTCTTTAATTTTCTAAATGATGTTTGTCCACTGTATAAGCTTACTTATTGGAGTTATAGTGGCAAAAAACGTTCGGCAGGAGAACCAACAGCCACACGAACTGACTCTTGCAAATCAGCTTGTAAGTGGTCTCCAGAAGAAAGACTCTTCATCTGCTTGCTACGACTAAAAAGGGGTTTTACCATCAAAACACTGTCTATTTTATTGAGTATCCCCGAAAAGCCAATTAGGGAAACTTCTATACGAGACATATTCACAACATTTAATAATAATATTAATAATAAAAGATTTATACCGCGCCAGTATCCTACTGTTCAAAGGCGCCTACAAAAAACTTTAACATTAACATGTAAGACAGCTAATACTAATTATAAAAGGCTTTTCTAAAAAGAAAAGTTTTTAATCAGACACAGACTGAGCATTTCTAATTTCACATGGCAAAGCATTCCATAATGATGGTGCTGCTACAGAGAAGGATCTTGCGCCATATATTTTCAAGTTATAGGATAGAGAAACAAGAAGGTGCTTGGATGATGAGCGTAGTTGACGTGATGGGGTGTAAGATGTGTGCAAATCACAAATGTACGACGGTGGCAAGTTAAGTGTCTTGTAGGTTATAAGTAAAATCTTAAAAATAATATGTTGATTAACGGGAAGCCAATGAAGATTAAAAAGAACAGGCGTAATGTGATCATGCTTTTTTGTAAGTGTGACGAGGCGCGCCGCGGCATTCTGGACGTGTTGTAGCTTTTTTNACTTGGAGCATTTAGCAAGCAACAATTCACAAAGCGAGCCCATGGTGTGTAGCTTTTAACCGGGTTAGGAGTAAGTTCAATGAAATTTCTGAGATTCGGTCCAACGGGAGTCTTCATCGTGCATGTAAATCGTGAAGAATTTAATCGACAGCCTTGGGGTGAGACCAACGCTCGAAAATAATTCAAGCGCCGCCGCTTTTCTTGAACTATTTTTCCCGCTCTGCAACCTCTAAACTTTCTTTGGCAATTTTTGCCCGGAGGAAGTAAAATACATGGGAGATTCCAGTTGTAGCAGATTTATCCAGCTTATGTATAAAATCTTACGTGATATGAAGAGAGATGTTCCCTTCTAAAGAAGCTCTTCAGAAGTTTTTGCCTCGAGTCTTTAAAACAATGAAGAGAATAAGATCTAGTGTAGACTGTACAGAGTTTCGAGTTGAGATATCCAGGAACTTTGCTAGACAAGGAAACACTTATTCATCATATAAGCAAGCCAACACCTTCAAGTGTTTAATCGCAGTAACCCCAAATAGAGGAGGAACTTGTTTTGTTTCAGATCTCTATGAAGGGGATATTTCAGATGTGCAAATTTTCGAGGAATGTGGAATCTTGAGGCACATCGAGCCATAAGATGTGATTCTTGTAAACAGAGGTTTTACAGTCCAAGATTGAGTTATCCTCTACGGGCAGACATCAAAATACCAGCATTCTTGAAAGGCAGAGGCAATCTAAGTGCAGCTGAGGATCTTTCCACACGAAAGATTGCCAAAGCAAGAGTGAATGTGGAACATTTTAATCAGCGACTCAAGCAGTTCAGACTGGTAGGAAGAACCATACCACTTTCACTTGCCCCTTTAGCAAATCAGATGGTTGTAGTTGCATGTGGATTAGTAAATTTCCAGGAAGTTCTTTGTAAATAGATTCTAAGACATTGAACTTTGCTAGCATGAACCTGGACTGCATTGTTAATTTTTGTTTATTTTTTGACTTCATTTACTTTTTCTAAAGGCCTGTTTTCAGAGATGTTGTCCCATTTGAAAAAAGTAAAAACTAATCATTACTCATTAGTAGGGAAATAGAGATCTAAACTTAAACAATAACCATACAGTCAAAGCTGAAAATTCTTTTGAACTAATGGTGATTTTTCACAGATTTCACCTCACTTACAACTAATTTCCCTATTTCCAGCTTGATTTTACTTTGCTGTAGACTCTACTACTTTCCAACCCACTGATTAACCAAATTATTAATTGTTAAAAAATGTGTTTAAGCTGTAATCTGGAAATGTTTTCAATTATTTACACCAAATCTGTACTCCAGAAAAATAAAAACAATATTCATTATGTTAAAAGTTCAAAACTGTTTTAGATATATTGGGCTGTTCTTGACCAAATAGAAGTATTACTTCAAATGAAATGTATTGACCTGAGAATGTTAAGTGATCAAAGTTTAAACAATGTAAAGAACAATAGGCTAAGAGAAGCCTTGAGGCTGATCCTTGAATACAGACAGACCAGAGTTCCCTTTAAGGTACTCCTTTAGTCCATCGTATGAAAACCATGAGTTGATGTGATTGAAAATGCAAATGTAATGATTGCCATTCCAAAGTGTTGCACTGTGAAGACATAGATGCTTATTATTCAAGAAAATTGTAGGTGCTAAATCACTAATTTTCAAGTTGCATCTTTTACTTAACAAATCAACGGAGAAGATAACAAAGTTCTTGAAACAGGACAATGTGCACTGAGAAATTGATCTCATTCCAGCACAATGCCATGATACTGATTTCCTCCCGTCACAGTTTAATGCATTGAAATTGATAGTAGTAACTATGCAATTTTTTCAAATTACATTTTGTTATCTTGTATAACAAATCATTGTCTCTTCAGAATGTCTTTAGAGACTAATATTCTTTGTTTGTCATTGATGACATTCTCAATGGTGTGGTCATGAAATATTTTTATAATAAAGACTTAATTTCAAGAAGACCATCATCACTTACTAACCCATTAGGACTGCAGCTAATGAATGGGAACTTTGGAATAACCCAAAGTCCTGTCAAAGAAACAGAAAAGCTTGTTTGTGTTTCGTACTTATTTATGGCCAATGATTCACTTTGTAATCCATAGGTGATTCATGCAGTTTAAAGATTTTGATTGTTCACATTCCATATATGAGAGGTGATAAACTTCTTTGATGATGATGCAGCATTGTTAGAATTTTCAAAGACACTTTTGCCAACTTTGTATGCTTCTAAACATGTTAAGGCTGTGAGACGAAACCACCATTCTGACCTCCATTTTTCTGAATCACTTTGCTTTTTTGTTCCGTCGAGTTCCATAAGACTGGTCGGCATGATGTTCACTAAGAGAGAGCTCCTCAATGTTTATAAACAAAGACCTCATGTTGACACATGCGCAGTATTACGGTTGGCAAAAGCAAGCGTGCTTACGAAATAAATATGGCGGCTTGTGAAGATCAATCGAAGTTTTCAGATTATTTTAAGGGTCTAGATTCTACTGCAAAGGCTCGATACGTAGAAAAACTTAGCTACAAAGATAAAGGAGAAGTTAAGCCACTTCCAGACCCCTACTCTCTCAAGAAATGGGAAAATAATCCATCCACTTGGCCTGATCTTCAGTTTGGTGATATCTACATGTACTTGATCGAGACTCCTGGAATCTATACTAAAGAAGCCCTCAAAGCCTACAAGTCGCTCGAGGCATTTTAGTTTTTTGTTAGTGGCCATGTTAGGCCGATCTTTTTCCATTTCCTCGGTGATAATGTTCCATACAGCTGTGTAAAAGGATGAGTCATTTCTCAGCGACTTAATGACAAAGCACACGACCCTTGGGTTTGTCTGCACAAAAAAGATGCAACAGTTTACTGCGCACATTGCACATGTATTGCAGGGTATGTAGTGGTTTATTAAATGATAATGGTGCTCTGGATTGGTGATAGATATCGGACGACCCTATATTGGAGCATCGGCCGATGGGTTTGTAACTTGGTCATGCTGCAAACCAAGTCCTTGAAATTAAATACCCATCCAAATACAAAGACATGGATCCACTTCAAGCAGCAAAGGTAGATAAAGACTTCTGTCTAACGGAAGAAGGAGACCTTAAATGCAATCATCGATACTACAGATAGATGCAGATTCGAATGCATGTGAACAGGCTAGAAGCAGCACATTTTTGTGTGAGCAAAAATGTAGCAATTAATGTTTTAGAAATCAAATATGACTTGGAACATGTTCAGGCAGTTTTAGACGAGTGTGATAAATTTTCATTACTGTATTTTAAAAACAATTAAAAATCACTATAGTTTACCACACAGGGCAAAAATTAGACTTGCAATTTTTGTTATAAGTATTTTATTGAAATGTTCCAATCACATGATTTGTTAAAATTTAAAAGGAATTTAAATATTGTAGTATCTCTAGATAAATGTACATTAAATTGATGTGCATACACAGTACCTGCATTATTAAAATATTAAGAAAATGTTTAATTTACAAATTGGGTTTGTTGTGAAAATGAAACATATAGAGCAGTGACACACCAGGGTGATCTTACTTGACCAATTTTTTATGTAAATTGCTAACAGCTGCTATAATTAATTCAATGTTGTCTAGATGTGGAGCAAGGGTTATTGGTAGAATGCCTGCCAGAATTCTAAAATTTTTTAACCTCTCCATCATTCGTTCAACATGAATTCTGATTCATGCAAGTCTTCTAGACTGCTCCACACTGTTCATGCTTAATTGTTTTTTACCTCTTGTGAAGCTGGGATTGCCAACCTAGCTCCCCTTGATGCAAGATCTTCTTCTATTAAAAAAACCCCTGTCAGCTAACACTGAATCACCATGCACCAGGTTATTTAAAAAGCCAGACTTTTGGGTTTTGACTTTATCAGAGACCCTTCTACCATAGGCATTGGAGACAAATGAAACAGCACTAACAGGAGTAATGCCAACTAATAATTTAAGGGTGTTGTGGTGCTTATAATTTGACCAAGTAAGGGCTCTCGGTTAAATTTCTGCCCCTTTCACAAAATATTTCAGTGCAGTCAATTATAACCCTACAGTTTTTGTAAGTGGGTTTAAACATTGAGGGCAAAGTGCGAATAATTTAACCTTTAGTAGGCCATCGCACCAAAAAAGATAATCGTCCAGATATTGCTAGTAGACCTTTGTTTAGTATTTTGGAAACTAAACCTTCAGAAACATTAAATCGATATGCTAAATCTAGATTAATAAGATTTAGTCTTAACTTCATAAAAATTAAAAGAAACACACTGCCACTTGACAAAACCTTTGAAATAGGCAGCACTGGTATACAGTAATTTAATGCCCAATTAAAAGTTTTGTAATTGGGAAATCCAGTGTAAAAAACTGTTCTTGAATCATTGTTTTGAAGAGACTCTTCACTGAAGGAACATTTTTTAGTTTGTCTTTAAGCTCTCGGTTCTCCTCCTGAAGCCTTACTAATTCTGCATAGATCTGCTTATTTTCCTCTTGCAGTTTTTGGTTGGCAATTTGCATTTCATCTGTTGGAGGAGAATTAGTGAATTAATGAAAACTTTGTGATAAGATAATGCAGCTGAGGGGATACAAATAAAAATAGGGAACTTTTTCATTTCCCTCAACAATGACGATGCAGACTAGTATTTGTTTCACAGGTTGATTACAAGCACTATTGCCATAAAAGATAAGGAGAATTACTTGTAAAATATCTGAAGGGGCAGTCACTATAATTCAGCTTACCTAGTTCTTCGTAAATGCTTGGTACGGAGTATGAATCAGATAAGGCATGATACAGATAAAGAATGCTTTTAAGAAGAAATCACTGTAAACATGTCATTACCACTCCACCTCAGGTCAAAATTTAGGGATCGTTTACAAAAATAGTAATAGTTTACCTGGTTCTTCCAGATTTTCAAGTGGGGGTGGACGAATTGAAGACAAGCTAAGAAGTGTTTTGGCTTCTTCCAACTGCTTGGCTTCATGCCTAGACTGCCCTTGCTTCGCCTTCGAACGTTGCTGACTTCGTTCGAGCCGCGTTTTACGTTTTCTTGCCCTTTCCTTTCTGCCATCATCTCTGTGGCCCATCTGCAAGTTAGGCTCGTAGTCGGGGTCGTTTGCATCATCTGTAGTACTGCCTGTTTTTAAAAATAAACTTAGAATCTTGATTCACGGCATTACTTTCAGAAGGTGTGAAAGCGAACTGTGCTTACAAACTACAGTAAAAACTAAAATATTGCTTTAAAAAGCAGCCATATTACTTAAATTCCGTCTCAAAATGTATTTTTAACAAATACTGTGTCTTGGTAATCACCTAAAGCTATTTTTAAAACGGTAGGAACAGTATAACTAACCTGACAAGAAATGTATACTGCATACACGTGTGTGCTTATTTGGCTCCCAATTCTTCCTGCGAATTGTGTTTATCCAGCAGGTTCTTTTTGGTTGTGTGTCCAGAAACCTAAAAAATTTTAGACCTGAACCCTTCTTAAAGTGATTTGCACACCCAATTACCCAACAACTAACGACCACTCTCTACAAATCGCAAAACCTTTTCTATAACAACCTCCCTCACTGACCTGTAAAAACTAGGTCACACGTGCCTTTTTGCCAACCGAAGACCTAAACATAAACATGACCCGTCTTCGTGACGTCATCGTGAGGAGCGCTATAGAGGCAGATTTGATGGATCAAAGCAGTAGTCATCGTAGGTAACAAGCAACTGAGTTTCCCACATTGACACATTCTTTTGGTCGACTGATATGGCTTTCAAATTAACTACTAACTTGTTGATGTTCTTGCTTGTAACTTTTTGAAACTCCTTGGGTCGAGGATCAAAGTCGATGACCTGTAGTTTGCCTTGCTTTCATTCAGTCCGATATATGGCATCAGATAATTTTAGTGGATTCTTTTTAAGTTTTTTCCTTTATTCCAAGTACATTCTTGACTTGTGCAAGGCATTGTTGTCTTTGACCCGTGTTTGTTTTCATGCTCAACTAATGTAAGACTGCTACAACGTGGCTACATTGACCAAGTTCAGATCTTTTACACGGAGAACAAGAAGCATGGATAACTGCTCCACTTTTTCCGGATAATACAACGTTCACATTGTGAGGTGAGTCACCCTACATCAATGGCCAAACATGTGCTCTCAAGAAGTAGTGCTTGTCAGTTTTGTTGTCATTTAAATTGTGAACAAACCCAGAATCAACATACTTTCTGCCCATGCTAAATGGTTTGTCTGTCATGTGTCCTAGTCCAGTGTCAAGAATTTCGTTGCCCTCTTCATCTGCGGTATTATCCTCAACAAATGGCAGGGATTCCAAAGCATAGTGACACACATGTCCACAGTTGAAAAGTGATGGGATATCTTGTGATGGGAATGCTCTCCATCCAGTTTTTGGAATTACTGGAACTGCCAGATCATGATAATGCCTTTGATCGACTTTCTTCTCTTCCAAAATCTTTGCTTCCAGCCATTTCCCATTGTCTATGCTAGAATCAAGGACAAAAAAGTTGCCCGATTTGAGGCAATTGCAAACATGTGCAATGAGGTCTGTTCGTTTGCCGCTCAATTTTAAACCTCTACACTTAAGCCAACGCTTCAATTGTGATACCATATAGTTCTCTGAGTCTTGCTCGAACTTCGAGCCCGGAACACCTTTGTTTTCAGTTAAAAATTCTAGCTTTTGATGTGTTTGAACTGGATATAAGCGAGTCGTCGTCCATATTCCTTCACTCGAGAAGCTGTTTGCTTGTCCTTATCACTGCAGGGGGTGAAAAAATCGTGATGTCATGTCTGCCCAGCACCATTAAAAAGTGACATTTTGAAGCTTTTGTCACAACTGAGTGTTGTAGGAGTATTTGCAACACCATAAGATCTACTTCAATCTCTACAACTTCAGCAAAAATATTTGGACCCCTTCTCAGGACTAACACCATAAGACCCCTTTGCATCTAAGAAAAAACTAAGACCTGCCACCCCAAAAAAGTTGCACATACTTTTAGACTCACAGGAAAGCCTGCTAAGGCATTCCTGCATAGAATTAAGATTAGAAATGCTCTTTTCCTTTTCTTTTTTTGAGAAATTTTTCTCAGCTATAAACTTTACTACTTCTGTGAGTGACAGAAAAGTGAATTTGGAGGAAAACCTCTTGATCCCTTTGATTTATTTTGACATTTCATTAGCATAGTCATAAGTTGTATTATAGAATGCAAATTACTGATGCCTGTCATGAGCAAGTTTTTGATCAAATTACAAAGCTCATTAGGGTTAGGGTTAGCTCAGGACCTCCCTGAGTATTGTTACTGCTACATAACAATATCATTAGAACTATTAAAATAATAGTTCAAGTAGCGTATCTTCTCTTCTGACCTGAAATTAGTACAGAGAGCCGATTTTCAAACGTCTAGGCATCATTAAAATCAAACAGGTTAGGGAAAGTTAATGAGAATGCTGTACTTACAATTTCCAAAATTCTGCTTCCAGGGTCAATGGCCCAAAATGCATCGGATAGTCTCTTCAATTCTCTTTCAGTCAGACCGATTTGTTTTCCCAAGTTCTCGAGTTCTTTCAGCGGTGTTTCAATTTCCAATTTCGTGAAGTGAAACACCAAGTGACATCTTAAGCTGCAATAAATGTCTATAAAATGCTGTTTCAAAGGAGTTCCTTGTTTCCTCTGGCAATTCTTGGCACATCCCTAAAAGTTCAGTTACTTTTTCACACATAGCCGGAACATCTTTCTTTAGGCGGACTACAGACTTATCGAACCCCTCAAAAATGTCCTCAAAAATTTGCAACAGTTGCTCGTTGTCGGCAACTTCACCCGCCATGTTAGTGTGAATGCGGGAGAAATAACGAAGAATGAAGTCCCTGCATCAAATCCGTCTCTACGCGGAACTATAAGGAACGCGGAAATCTCTGAAGAACGTGCGCATAGGCATACGTGTCATGTGACCATATTCAGCTTCATGAAGGAATTTGTCGAGAGGAAGGTTACGGAAAAGAAACGTTTGAAGTTTATGTTCATATCTTTCACAGTGTAGGGAATACCTCCCAAATTAACGATGACGGCTTCTTATACAAATCACCCTCAGATTTATGAACTGGATTTGACTGATTCAACTGTCACTGAAAAACGTCGCGTCGGGAAGAAACTGAAAGTATCACACACATCTTCGAAAAATGCCGTGCCTGCCGTCTTCACAGAGACTTCGAATTCCCAACTAGTGAGTTTTCCGTTAACCTCTTAAAGGAGATTTTGTATTTAAAATGGTTAAGCATGTCATATTTGTCTTTTGAAATGAAAGATCTCGCTTGGGAACGTACTTGAAGATGGCGAACCTACAGTACATTCAAAATGGTGGATACCTACTCCGGGGTCACTGCAAGAATATTCATCGCATACTCAGGTTAGGTATCTTCATTTATTTCATGGTAGAATGTCTGATAGCCTAAAAGCCAGAATGGTAGAATGACAGAACGGCGGGTTTTTTTCGCACGGCCCCGTACAACAATAATTTATTGCACTACAAGCAGTCCATCCTTTACGTCGAAGTACGTCGCGTGAGGTACAAAAAAATTAGCGCCCGTTCGCACCATGCGAAATCTTGTTTGTTTTGCGAAAAAAATCTGTGAACGCGAAATCACTTTCAGTGCGAACGATATTTTTTGACCCGCCAAAATTTTCGCAAGTGCCACCAAACTTCAGAGATGCCGTCAACTAGATTTGGAGGCTTACATTTTTGGGCGGGCGAGAAAATCTATTGTTCCTCGAGAGATACCCTTCAACTGGTCATCATATTTCGTAATTGAACGTAGCTTTAGTAAGTTGTCGAATGACTCTCTCCTCATTTTCAAATGTCTACTAAAAAAGACTTAGGGAAGTTAAGATTTCAAACCAGAATTCTACAGCTGCAGGTCGACTGTGGCGTCAACGTCTGTTGAGCGAAGAATTAGAGGAGTAGAAGAAACCTTTAGCTTAAATTTATTTATTTATTCAATTTTACAGCAAATAAATATATTTATTAAAAACTAGATCATTGGATAAAGCAATTCAAGACTTTTTATTGGCTTAGCCATTATGGTATATCAGCCAATATAGCATAATCTACAAATATGGTAAGCGTACGTGTCAGCTTAAAATTAAAAGGGAGCTAAAAATTTAATAATTTAATTTAACGTTTTTAATAAAACAATTATTCCACTCGCGCTTGTTGGATATGAGATGATTATAGCCAACTCGGCGCTACGCGCCTCGTTGGCTATCTATCATCTCATATCCAACGCGCGCTCGTGGAATAATTGTTAATTATTAAAAACTAGATCATTGGATAATGCAATTCAAGACTTTTTATTGGCTTAGCCATTATGGTATATCAGCCAATATAGCATAATCTACAAATATGGTAAGTGTACGTGTCAGCTTAAAATTAAAAGGGAGCTAAAAATTTAATAATTTAATTTAACGTTTTTAATAAAACAATCATCCCACTTGCGCTTGTTGGATATGAGATGATTATAGCCAACTTGGTGCTATGCGCCTCGTTGGCTATTTATCATCTCATATCCAACGCGCGCTCGTGGAATAATTGTTAAGTTCATACAAACATATAATTAAATAGTTGTTGGAGGACCTAGCAACAGGAATGAACTTCCTTAATGATAAGGCCACCAGAAACCATATATATGAAAATGAGAACATAAATAAAGTATACATAATGACAGGCAGTATCATAAAACGAGTATAGTAAAGTGCTACATGTTAAAACTTAGTGCGAACTAAAGTTAAATAACAATTATATTAAGTCACTGCTATCAATAGCAAGACAGTAGAGTCTTGGGTAATTCTTGAACATAGAAAGGGATTCCCTTCTCCTAATAGATAGAAGGTAAATTGTTCCAAAGGCGAGCAACTCTGGGAAAAAAAGACGACCCAAATATAATTATAATACAATTAAACCAAGAAAGAAAAGGTCAGTCAGAAAAAAAAAAATCTTACAATTGAGACACACTACTTGGCAACTAGTTTAAATATTTAAAGGACTAACAATAAATTCCTCTAAACCACACAAACAAATACGAACAAATACATGTAGTATAGTCCCAGAGGGTATGCAGATTATGCATAGGCTAATTAACAACTCAGAGAAAAATACAGTCTTGTTTTTTTTATAGTTGCTTACTGTGAGATTATTGTGCACAGATAATGGAATATCAATCCAAATAAAAGGAGCTTGCCAAGTGGTAGCAAATTGATACTTATGACAGGTTTTATGCAGGTTAAAATGTGAATGAGTCAAATAATTGTGATATTCAGAATTAAAATGGGCTTAGTCCTTAGTTCCTACTTTTCAAGTGTCTTACCCATGGAGCTCCTGCAGAGCATTAGTGTCACTTTAAAAGTTCCCTCAGCATGTAAACAGCAATTTTTTTTCACTGATTTTTTTATTTTTTTTACTGTTGCTTCGAACTTTGCTGAAAAGGAGGGACCGCTCATAATCTATTCAACTATAAAACATGCGTATAATCCCAAAAGCAATCTATTGTTTTTGCCATCTTTGAGATTTTAATGAACTTATAGAGAAAAAAATAATTCTATGCTAGCATAAAGAGTGGTATGCTGCTTGCACAGGCGTTTTCTACTAATAAAGTTTGCTTTTAATTACCTTGGACTTCACCCCATCACGTTTCAATTCCTTGTAAACAACCTGCATTTTATCACTTATTTTGCCTGACTGGCAAAGTCCAGATAGTTAACTACAAAATAAGGAGCCATTGAAATGTGATACTTTTTTCATCACCCAATACATTGTCCTTCAGTTGAAGAATGGAGACCTAATATAGTGTATTTTGTTAGAGGCTATTGGAGGTAGAATAGAGTTTGGGGGTGCTTCTCACTGCAAAATTATGTGGAAGAATATTTTTAAGGCAAGTAGCTGTTACTGAATTATTTTGATATTGTCTCTGATGAATGAACTGCAGTAAGTAAGCCACAGCCTTAACTTGCAAGCAGGTGGTTATTTGGCCTCCACTCTGAAGGAGATTACAGGAAGCGGGGCACCAGTGCAGTTAATTTTTGCTAACAATTATTCAGACACCAGTGGCAATAGACCATAAAATAGGTGTGTCTGAACTTTACTCATATCTTTTGAAAGTGGATGCTCTTTTACAGAAAAGCAAACATCTGTTACTAAGTGTCAATTTTAAACTCACCCATACAAAAATGACTCTTGCATGCATAGTATGCTTAGGTTTTTCAATAACCAAGAACTATATGCATAATGAAGTTTGGGGCTTTGCAGAAATCTTATCGAACAGTGGAATGGCAGAAAACTACCTCAAATCTTAAAAGATGGAATGGTGGTAAATCACCCAAATTGAAAAAGACAGAACTGAATAAATATTATACACATCCTGCCAAAGGTTAAAGGAACCCAAATGTAAAGTCCAACATTTGGCATCCTTGGCAGAAAGTCTTCTCTTTTTCTCAACACTACACCAAATCAAATAGTGGTAAACCATGGCAAATTTGAAAATGCACAGAAAACAACTCCAAAAATCTTGCCATCTCCTCCTCAGTTTTCGTGGCATCTTCCTCCTTTATATTCTTTTTGCATCCCCCCGATCACCTTTCCAACTCCATTCCTCTCCTGTCATGCTAAGATTATTAGACCTGTGTCAATGTGTAATAGATCCTTTTAGCTACCGATGTCATAAGTTGGTCATGTTGTCTGTGTTGAGTAAACACACGTATATTTTTCAGAGCCCGCGAAGGTGTTGAAATTGGTGTGCCTGTATTCTCCTTAGTTTACAATAGTTTTTGTTTTAGTACTTTACATCAGAGAAATAGCTATCTTGTTTCTTTTTCATGATGTGGATTGTTTTCAATAGTTAAAGCCATTTGCACTAAGTTTATATGTTACTTTTTTACCTCAAAATAAGAAGAATTTTACCTATCTGAATAGACATGTCAAACATCCTATTTCAAGCAGTATGAAATGCTGAGGGAAAAAAAAATAACACATGAATTTAGTACTTATAACATGAGGCAAGTTCTCTCTGTCAATCCTTTGGTATTTGATGACAGAGTTATGTGTACCATGATACCAGTCGTGGGGAGGGGAGTCTCTCCAGTATTGAAGATTAAGGTTTTTGGCACTTCTTCAAATGAGTTGGTTTGCTTAGTGAGTCTTGTCTTTCCAGAATTGAAAAGAGGTTATGCATCTTTTAATTGTCTTTTTTCTGAGCTTTTTGAGTTATTTGTATATAAATTAAAAAAAAAATTAAGACTGAATGAGACATACTTGTAAGTTGAAGTTTGATCGTAATTCTATTGAGTTACAGAATGCTGAGAGATCATAGGAGATAACAAAGCACACATGCCAATCAGGCTTTGAAGACTGAATGTCCATGATTCTCAATAGCAGAAGGGTGGGTTTGGAAATGGGCATGTGATCTCAGGGCGTGAAATTAAAAAAATTCTTGATTGCAATTTGTGAGTAACTCCTAAAATTTTTGGTTGCAAGTTTGATAATTTTAGTAGCAAAAGTAACCTACTTCTACCAGAACCAGAAATTAGAAGTGAAGATTTCTTAGAAATTTCATGAGCGTTGAATGATGTAGTTTCTGAAAAAGTGTGCCTGCGATACTTTTCTCAATCAGCAAAAAATCAACGATAAAAAGTCGCACAACATCTAACTTGAATTTTGCAGGATTTTTCAGACAAAACTACAGCAACCACTAACAAGTAAGATGGAAGGCTGTTAAATATAATTTATTTATAAGCTAGGCTGTAAAATCGTTGCAAAATCGCTGTCAGTGAAGAAATTTTAGTCACATAAGTGAAATCTTTATTCAGAAATTGCCCAATACAGGTGCAATTTCAAGCCCTGGATCTCTCAGCATTCTGTAACTTGATAGAATTACAATCAAACTTCAACTTACTGGTAGGTCTTGATTAATCTCTAAATTCTACCTTGTTACCATGCTGAAAGATCCCATGAGCTTTGAAAGTAATGTGGACATCAAGAAACAACAACATGCCAACTTAATGGTGAATTGCAAGTACATTATAGTTTGCAGAGACAGGGCTGTCACTAATTTTTAAAGTAGGCGGGGAAATAAAAAAAGTAGCCGGGGGACAAACATTTTCTGGTGTGACTGTCAATCAGAAAAGGTGGGGCAGGGGGATAAAGCTTTTGGGAAACAACACAAAATTTTCAAAATACATTTCTATTTTAATGCAACTTTTACATGGAGTAAATTAAATGCTACCACTGTCCCCTTTCTCTGTGGGATTGGGAAGACTCTGACAAGTTTCCAAGAGTCATTTTCAATTCTTATGCTTTTATCATGACAAAATAGGGCTGCAGCAAATTTAAACTTAACTCCTTAAAATTAATAACTCTGA